TCTGCCAGGGGAGACAGGACCACACAGCTCAGAACTCCAAGCCAGGGTCCTATTTGTTCAGAAATGGGCATTTTCAATGTCAGCAGTTGTGATACAGCACAGGCTGCTTGGATTTTCCAGCCCCCCCAGTAAATGGGGGTAGTGCTGCTCTCACAGCAACACCAAAGGAGCCAGGCTGCACTTTGTGTTAAACCCTCTCTGTTCCATCCCTTATATAAATATCCCTTGATGCAAACCTCAGGATTGCTTCCCTTTCCAACCTGTACTCAACACTCATAATCTGTGTCTATTCTTTTCTCCCTGGTTGATTACTCAGCAGTCTCTGCCTTTCTGTCTGTCTTTTGATTTGTTTGGGCAAACCTGACCATGGCCTAAAAACTTATTTTAAGGGGGAAAAAAGTGTAAACCACTAAAACCAGCTTTGTCAAACCACATTTTACTTTAAAGATGAAAGTTGAACAGTTAAAGTAACTGCAAATTTGCTAAGCAAGTAAGTTGCCAAACTTGCTGTCTCTGCCTGGGCTCTGTGTATTTACAGCTAACATTAAAGAGAAAAACCCTTTTCCACAATATGCATGTCTTCAGCTAAAAAGAGGCTTCAGTGTTTTGGGGGAAGGAGAGAAAGCATTTCTCTAATTTCTCACACATAAAGTCCACGTATTTATCACATACCCATTAGTGTTACATCTTACATGCAGTTTTGTAAACAAAACTTTGTGTGTTTTATGCTCTTTCCAGAAGTCTCTATTCCTATTACATAGTGAGGTTTTCAAAACCATTGATAAAATTACCAGGTGTGTGAAAGAAATCTTTTCATTATGCAATTTTTTGTCTCTATTATTGAAGCACTTTGAATTAGAACACCTGTAAAGAGCAGTTGAGCCTGTTCTTAAAAGTAATTACTAAACATAAGGCTCACAGCAGCCAACAATGTGCAATTATTTCAGTATTTTTTGAATTATAAAGAGCATGTGCCAACATATTTTCAAAGCTGAGGGTGTAATACACAGTCACAGGGTTTCATTCTCACCTACGTGTCTTCGATTCTTTTAAATAAATATAAAACAAAATTCCTGTGACACTAAGTCAGTTCTTTACCAGATGAATTCCATCACTGAATAAAGTCAGATAAATTGGTGTGACACTGAAGATCTCTCGAGCCTTTGATAGCATTTTTCTTCTGTTTATACTGCCTGATTTTTGGGGGTAAGAAGCTCCTTCCAAGCTTCTGGGATTAAAATGCCCCAGCAGCTGGAGCAGGTTGGCCCAGCAGCATCACCACTGCTGGGAATGCTCCAGGGGGGGTTCAGACAATGCCAAGAGGATGCTTGGTCTGAGTTTCCTACTGTGAGGCAGATTTATTTAAAGCAACTTTGTTCCAACCTGCCTGAGTACCAGCAATGGCAGAGGCAATTATGAAGCTGAGCATAATTTCTCTAACAATTTACATGTTAGAGTAGGATGTTATAAAGCTAAACCTCCTGGGGAGTAGGTATGGAGCCACTGAAGAGGTTCGGGCAACCATCTGAGTGGTTTATTTTTAACGACAAGATATTCTTTCTGAACTGTGTCTCCTTATATGCCAAAGAATTTGTCTGGTTCATTTCTGAGAAAATTGTACTTGTGTGATCGTGCTCTGAATATCCATTGCACTGCCCTGCTCTGTCACAGCTGTCAAACCTTTCAGCTTTCATGTTCCTAAATTTCAGATTCTGGTGGGTTTCTTGGAAGTGGGTAGCAGCATCTGGGAGAAAAATGACAGTAGGAGTTCACTATAATTTAAAACAAAACCAGAACAACAAAAAAACCCCAAAGCAAACCCAAACCACACCAAATCCCTAAATATCCACGAAGATGTGTGTAATTTTCTACTGCAGAAAAAAACTTAAATGTGCATTCTCAGTTGTTTGAAATTATAGTTTCAACCTGTGAAAGTACTTGTTGCATTACACTGAATTTATAAAGACATTTGCTTTTCACAGAATCCTAAATATTGTTTGTATTGTAATAAAACTAAATGGAAATACTTTAATAATGATTGAGGACTATATGTTTTCTTATTTTGTGCTTAAGTTTACAAGTAGCCCTAGGCTGGTTTTGGGTTGAAATCATCTGCAGTGTTACCATTAAAAATAATCTGTTAATACAGTAGTTTCTTGCACACAAATTAAATCTGTTTGGTGTATTCGTTATATAAACAAAGAGAAGTAAAATGCTAAACTTTAATTAAATACAGAAATCAGCTGGATGTGTGTGACTGGTGGGGTTATTGCCTTTTGCACTCTTTGTGCTTCTTTCGAAGTCTAGTTCATTAATCCCATGGATTCTTATTTGGCTAATGAATCTATTGTAGCTTTGTTTCCTGAGAAAATGAGGTGTATGTAATTCCACCTGCCAGTCCTGCTCTCTTCTTCCACTTTTCCTGTGTGTCTCACTGCAGACTTCCTTAATTACTGATCCATCCCAGCTAGAAGTTGATGGAGGTGAGTTGTGAAAACTCTGGGTAGAGTATGTCCAGGCATGGTAGGGAAGGGACTGGAATTAGTGCCCAGCTGAGAGAAAAACTGCAGTGGGCGTTCAGTGATTATTCCTGGCTGGAAGCCTGGCATGGAACCAGCTATTCCACTTGTGGAGCCTTTTTCAACTGGCACTTGAGGGGAGCAGAAGAGGCATTGGAGTCAAGGTATTGGAAAACATGGAAAGAGAAACAGGGCTGTTGAAGTGCAGGGCACTTTGTAAATTGCTGCTTCTTCCTCTGGAGCTCTCCTTTTTCCTGGCTGATTAATGGATCTTGCTTTAACTGGATTTTTAGCAAGCGTGCCAAAAAACTAAGGCTCTTCAGTTTTATTGTTCAAAAATAATTAGAAACTTTCTGGCAGCTGAGAGAACTTAAACAATGTATAATGTAGTTTCATGGGTTTAGAAATATTGGGAGGCAGTAGATTCCTGGGATTTTCCTTAAGCCAGTCGTTGGTGAAGGCTGTGTCTCCTGACACTCACTTGTACATCCACACGTGTTAACTTAGGAGGTGGCTGCAGGACACTCATTTCAGAAGGGATTAAGCTGCTGGATTTTTTTGCAATTTCTCAATGAAAATGCTCTAGTGTTCCTAGAATCATTTTAATAAGTGTATTTGCAGGTTAGAAATGAAAGTTACCCTTCCCATGTGCTTCTGAATGACTGTTGTGAGGTGTAAATGCTTATTGTATGAGTTCAGTGATCACAGGTGTGTTCTGTGCAGTGTTATTGCTCCAGGTGGGAAATAGCAGCTCTTCTGAAAATCTGAACTCCTCCAGACTATTTCAGTGTTGGTCTAGATGTGATCTGATTGTTCTCCTGAAATGTAAAGGATACCCAGGGTGTTTGGTAGAACCAGTCACAGGATCAGAGTTAAGAATTGTCTTCTAAATGTTTTAAATTTAGGGTACTTTTTAAATACTTCTATTAAAAGCCTTTTCACTCTAGCACAATTTAGATTTGTGTGATTCACATCTGAAATTTAGTAATTGAACTATTAACACCAAATACTACTGAAGTGAATGGTTAGCACTGGTTTTGGTGGTGTCACATTCTGCAGTGGGGAACACTGGCATCAGCACGTTGTAGGATGCAAGAGCTTCCCTTTTCACCACTTCCAAATACCCATGGAATTACCAATTTCACAGCAACTGTCACAGTATACAGACTTTTCCTTGAAATTGCAGCCTGTAAAAAGAAAGTTGCCATATTCAGATCTGGTCTCCTGGTACACATTCTTGTTTGCTTGGCCCAGAGAGGCTGGGCGTGCCCGAGGTGGTGGTGGTGTTATCAGCTGGTCAGGTCACACACACAGCCTTCTGAGTCGAGGCAGAGAGAGCAGCAGCTGAAGCCAACACGGTCCTGGGGGTCATGCTGTGTTGGGGTCATGCTGTGTGCAGAGAATGCCCTGGGAGCCAGCACGTGCTGCACAGAGGGGCAGGGATGCTTTGCAGTGGGTTATGAACAGTGTGGAAATGTCCCAAAGGAGGGAGCACGGCAGGACAGGCAGGGATGGAGTTGTATCCAGCAGGCAAGTTGGAGTCTTCAATAATCCATTTGTTATCCATTGGTTTATGTGCTGTAGAGTCTTATATCTAGTTCAGCTGGGAGGGGATGTTGAGCTGAAAATGTGTTGTAAAAATGGAGACAGGAATATCTGGATATTCCAAAGGGATGCCTGTTCTTAATATAACAGCACACCACTTCATTTCTGTTGGGTGATATGGAAGCTCTGTAATGTATATTGTCCACTTCCTCCCCTGCCCCCAGAACCAAATACTGAGTTGAGTTCAAAGGGTAGGAGGGACATGTGCTGCCTCCTGGGTGGGAGGATCAGGCCAGCCCAGGTGGGAGGGTCGGGGTGTGTTAGCTGTAGGAACTGAAGGTTGTCTTGCCCTCTTTCTAAAGTGATGTATTTCCTTCTCTAGTTGACTGCTTTGTAGAGTTACAGCCCATCTGTAGACTTGATCTGACCAGGGGAAAACAAAAAACATACAAAAGCAGGTAGCTCTAAATTTGAAATTCACTTTTTAATTTAATAATTTATTTTCAGTCTTTTTGCTGTACTTGTGGATTGTGGGTTGGTTTGTTTGTTTTTTGTTTTTTGTTTTTTTTTAAAAACCAAGTAATACTTGTCATGGGAAGATAAACTTGCCCAGGAGTTACGACATCAAAACAGGCAGGTGTTCCAGACATGAGAGGTACAGCAAACTTAGCAATTAGAACATCATTGACTCAGTTAATTGGCAAATTGAAGTGACAAAATCAAAAGACCTCTTTTGCCTTGGACCTGAGCAGTTACAGGTTGTGTAATAGAGACTGAGCCTTTTGCAAAGCATATTCTGCACTTTGGGGGAGTGGAAAGGAGCTGGACAGACAAGTGTGGAGGTTTTGCTTGCAGAATAATGTATCTACAGGTGAAAAAACAGATTAACCTTTGATTTTCTGAGGATTGAAATGTTTATCTTCTCTCTCCATCTAGATTCAAGATCCAGCCCATATTATGGCTGGCAGTGGGTCCAGATCAGGACCAGCCAGTGGGTTGTCCATGAAATCACAGCTCCAGATCACTGGTAAGCCTTTTGAAATTACATATCTTTCTGGTTAGAAATGTGGAAGTGTTTTTCCCACAATTAACCAGAGGTTATGATGATGTATTTTGGGAAGTTTTGAGTCGTACAAAGCCCAAGAGAAGTCACACAATGCAATTGATGGTGTTATGCCGTCATTACTTGGTAGAAATAGAGCTCTTTTATTTAGGATTTTATCTTAAATGCATTTTGAAATGATACATTTTTGTGTAAAAGAGAAAAAGGAAGGAATAATTCTTTTTGAATGCTGTTTAGTAAATGATTCAGAGCACTCCTCTTGGAAATGGAATAATGCATTATGATACTGCTTACACTTACTGAAACCTGGCAGAATATCAAATCTGACACTTTCTCCTGACACTCTTCTCACATCTCTAGCTAAGTGAACCTGCACTGCTGTTCATTAAATTTGACTTACTGCTTCTCCCTTGTTACATGTTTTTATGGCCACCATTGCCAAGGAGCTTTAAGAAAGGTGTTGGTGAGAGTATCACTGTAATTGAGCCCCTGTGGATTGTTTGGGAATGGATTTACATGACATGCTTTGTTTTTTGTAGTGCCTCACCAACAGAGCAGCTGTTGAAATGGAATTACCAAGGTTGCTCACTTCTGCTCTCTGGCAGATTTAGCTGAAGCATTAAAGCTGAATGGGAGATCTGGGGGGATGTGCAGGTCTGTGTTGAGAAGCATCAAGAGTAAACTTGGCACCCTCAGCATGGAAGACCTGTGGAAATCAGAGAAATCCTGTCCCTGCAGGTTGATGTTGGAGAGAAATTGCAGGAGGTTTGGAAGGAGGTCCATCCTCCACACAGGGGTGGAGAGCAGAGCCAAGGATTGAAGTGGTGGTTGATGCCTCAGGCTTTCTCCAGTACAGGCCTGGGACTCACATAAAGACAGGGAAGTGGAATGAATGCCTCAGTGTTTGGAATTGAGACTACTGAGATATTTGAGCAGTTCTGAATTTCTGTAGAAGTTCAGCCGCAGTCTGCAACCAACTATTGCCTGTGCAAGCAGGTGTTCCCTGCCCTCTGCCCTGCCCTCAGCTCCCCCTCCTGCTGCCCTCCTTGGTTTTGAATGAACTTTCAGAGTGTCTGGGGAAGAACAAACCTTCAAAGTAGGGACAAATCTGCTGATTTCTGCTGCCTCAAGGAAGGTCTTGAGATAATTAGTGGTGTTGAGGCAGAGGTGCTGGAAACAGGAGGGGAAGGGATGGGGAGCTGTTTGTGAAAAGGAAGGAGTTAATGTCTGTGAGGTGTCTGTAATACACAAAGAGTTTCCCTTGGGAGCAGCTCCGAGCAGTTTATACTAAGCTACTTCTGTAAATCTCTAAAGGAGCATAGACTATAAAGGGAATCTGGGCAGATTAGCCAGATGGGCCTGAATTAGTCATCCTTGTTAAGGAGGTAGTGAGTGACAAACACATAGGAGAGCCAGTTTTTCTTTGTTAGAACTGTGAATTCACTGGCTGATGGAAATGATAGTATCTTAAGTGCTCTTTTGTGAGTTTTAGTGTTGCCCAGGAATCCGAGAACACTCCTGGGAGTCAGATGTCAGGTGTAGACCTATGTCTTAAACAGAGGCAACATAACCACTGTGTTTGGAAAGACAGGAGCATTGCACTAGATGTTGAATGCTTAAAAGAACATTTGAGCCCCCAAACCCACCAAACAAGAAACCAAAACCACCCACCAACCCCCCACATTAAAGCTCTGGGGCTGCAAGGCCTGTCCAGGTTTGTTGTTCCTGTAACAGGAGGTAGTTACTGAAATATGCCTTCAGCTTTTCTGTAAGTTTGGTTTGATACAGAAAACTTCACACAAAACTGTTTTTCTTTATGATTTTTTTTTCATCAGAAGTGGTGGCAGCTTTCCACCTTCATAAGAGGCAGATCATGTTTTGAACTTTTTAGCAAGCAAGTGTAACAAACTCTAGGAATTCTCTTGGCTGGTGATAGACAGGAGAAGGTTGTAGAGGATATTTTCTGCTTGCAAGAACATTTTTATCCATCTAATGTGGTCTTTTCCTTTAGTGTTACTGTCAGGCATCAATGACCTGACACTTGAATACTGAAGCATACCATGGAAAAATATTGTTTGCAATTGAAATCTTGCTGAATAAATTATTGTTTTTTCTCTTTCTTAACAGTGATTTCAGCAAAACTAAAAGAAAAGAATAAATGGTTTGGACCTAGCCCTTATGTGGAAGTCTCAGTAGATGGACAGTCAAAGAAGACAGAAAAGTGCAACAATACAAACAGTCCAAAGTGGAAACAGCATCTTACAGTGTAGGTTTGGTTTCATTTTCCAATTTGTTTGAGCTAAATTAATGCACCTGACAGTGGACTTGAAGGTTGTATTTTTATTTTAAGCAAAGTGTGGAATGTTACATGCCATGGAGATATTTTGGAGCAAATATAATAGAGTCTGGAATGGATATTTACAGACTATTGCATTGTGCTCAGTGTTTATGAGGGAATAAATTCTGTATTAATGTATGTGGCATATCAAAGGAGCTCTAATTTTGTCAGTAGTAAGGGCAGTAAGGTAATTTAATATTTCATCTGACTTTCCCGTGCATATTTGTGTTGTCATCCTTAAGGTTACAGTTTTCAGAAATGCTGTGGCTGAAAAGTGTAGCTGTTCTTTGTGTACCATCTTGTGTGTACCAGGCCATAGCACAGGTAGTTGGCTCTGTCTTGTGCACCTCTGAACTCCAGCATAAATACAAAATTCCCAGTTAATTTGTGCTTCCAGAGTACAAAACTAACATCAGATTCAAGATGAACACGTCTGTTGAGGTTTGCTTGGCTCAGTATTTGTGTTCTGGATGATAGGAAGTGTGAAGCATGGGAAAAAAAGATACACAGGTTCTACAAAATTTAATTTGATCTTTAGAATGGGACATGGAACTCTGGGATAAAGGTCAGTCTTGTGCTTGCACGTTGGAGAGGGACTTTTCACAAGGGCAGGTAGTGACAGGGCAAGGGGGAACGGCCTTGAGCTGAAAGAGGGAAGGTTTAGAGTGGATATTGGGAAGGAATCCTTCCCTGGGAGGGTGGGGAGGCCCTGGCACAGGTTGCCCAGAGAAGCTGTGGCTGCCCCTGAATCCCTGGAAGTGTCCAAGGCCAGGTTGGACAGGGCTTGGAGCAACCTGGGCTAGTGGAAGGTGTCCCTGCCCATGGCAGGGGGTGGAACTGGATGGGCTTTAAGGTCCCTCCAACCCAAACCATTCTATGATTCTGTGACTTGCTTATGCTTAAATTCTAGATTATTCTTCTTGAAGCACTTGGACATTGCTGCCTGATTATTGAAAACACTTTTTCTACCTATTTATTGTAATTTAGATCACTCTGAAGTTTTAGTCACTACTATTGCATTGAAAACAAATGTATTAAGAAAAGCTTGTGCTTTTACAAGCACATCAGTGTAGATGAGCAGAACTTTCTTGTAGCTTTTAAAGCTTTTTTTCTTTCCTTTCTAATGGAAATGTTTGTGGCTTTGCTGTGCAAGTCCATACAGTAATACATGGGTCTGTTTTGCTCTCATTGAGCAGGAGCTGAGCAGAGACACCCCAGGCATATCAAGTTCATTGAAGATTACACTAATGCTGCTTGGAGCTTAGTGTGAAGGAAGTTGTTTTTAGGAAATTCTTTGACACAGCTGCTTACATTCAGATTCAGGATAAAAAGGAAAAGTGTAATGGCTTCTTCAAATGAGGATGGACCGTGGGTTCCTCTTCTGGGAGGCTGTTGGTTGGGTGGATCTTCTGAAGGGTTGGTCTGACTGGGGAAGTCTGGGCTTATCAACCATGTACAGGTGAAATTAATGAGAAAATAAACCTGTATCTGTAATATCTGTTTCTCACAATTAAAACAATTGAAAAATACATCAATGTTAGAATGTTCCTTATAGAAAAAGAGTATCAGTATTAAAAATTGCTTTGAAGTTGCTGTTATGGAATTTACTATGTATTACTAGGGAGTTGCTGGAAGGTTTTCTGTAGATATTTCCCCTAAAATAGTAGTAATATAAAATGTACTCAGTCTATGAACAGCCTTGCAACAGTCTTGATTTACGTGACATACACATGACTGCACATGAGAATGTGATAAATAGAAATGGTTTGATGTTACCTCCATTTTTGCTTTGTTTTCCAAATTACTTTAAATGACAGCTGAAGTAAATGGCTCAGTTCACCCACTTCCCCTCCAACAAATGCCCTTACAGTGCTCAACTTTTTCTTTTCAGAATTGTCACTCCTGTAAGTAAATTAAACTTTCGAGTCTGGAGCCATCAAACATTAAAATCTGATGTCCTTCTGGGAAGTGCTGCTCTGGATATTCATGAGACACTGAAATCCAACAGTATGAAACGTAAGTACCGGATTAACAATACCCTGTAATGCTGCAGAATTTGTGAGGAATTGTCTGTTAATGAGCAGCAATGCTGTGTGCAGCCCTGTAGATGGCCCTTAAGGATCCCTTTGGGTGCTATAAGTTGATTTCATGAGCTTCCTCCTACTTTTTCAGTCATTTTTTTTGGTTACACACAGTCTGGCGTGGTGTCACTGAAAACAGGATGTTTTGCACTTTGCTGGTGTGTGCAAGAGTGAGTGAAAGGCTAATTAAAGACAAGTCTTTCCTTTTCAATAGCTTGAAAATGAAACCTCTGATATGTTCCTGGTACTAGACAGGAAATGTGTAAAGGTATTTTTGTTCTAAATAATGCCATGGGGATATACTGTATTATTTCATACATCTTAGAACTTTGGGCAGTATGTGCATCCTGGGAAGCTTGAAGGAGAAATACAGGATTCTGCACACCCTGGCTGCTCTCCTGGCATCTCCTGTCCTGCTGGACCTGGGTGAAAATCCCCTTGGATGTCTGCATTTGGTGTCTGACACCAGGCACCGGCTGGAGTTCACTGGGGTTTGTTTTAAACCCTTTCAGCAGGAATGTTTATTTACAGTTCTGTTTCACTGAAACCCAGTTGTTTACCCTGAATATACCATTGATCTGGAGCTATGATGGAAAATCTTCACATTCTAAATGTGAATGTCGTTAGATAAAGGTGAAGCATTTAAGTCAGAAGATAGAATTGATATCTGTTCTGTATCAAGAATAAAGTGAGTTACACTTCCTAACTCTGTATTGAGGACAGGTGCATTAATTGCTGCAGAAATATGAGGCTCAATCTCTGCTTTAATGACAGTCCTTTCTCTAGGCAGCAACAAGCTTATGCTCCAGTTTGCCCCTTTTTGTGGAAATAATAACTTTCTACTGGCACATGAAGATGATCAGTTTTACCACACAAAAAACAATGGAGAGGCAGAGCTGTAGCTGTGGGGGTTGTTTTGGGTTATTTTCCCCCTTGACCACTGTGGCCTGTGGATAAAAAGCCCTTTTTCCTGCTGTAGTAAGATGAAGTGGCCTTGTTCTCTGCTGTGTTCCAGTTGAGCAGGTGGTGGTGACGTTGCATCTCGTTGGTGACAGAGAACCAGCAGAGGTGGTGGGGGATCTGTCGGTCTGTCTCGACGGGATGCAGGTGGATCCCGAGCTCCTCACCAACGGGGAAGCCTCAACCTCAAGAAGTAAGTACCTTTCAATTCAAACATGCCCCTACACATCTGCTGTCCAGAGCTTTTTGCTGGGAAGCTTTAACCCAGTGTTGTAATGATAATGACAGCAGCAGCTGCTGTAACTTCCTGTTTGTAGAGACCAGAAATCTCACACCTTTTTATTTGAGGGGGAGTCGTAGTTCACAGGGGAGAGCTTCAGCCTTACTGTAACAAAAACAAGATCAGCATCTCTGTTTTGTGGACTTTGCAAACTTTTATCTAGCAATCCCAAACTCTAATGAAAGTCCCTAGCTTCCCTGGGTTTTAATAACATCATAAATGGAAAAATATTAAGTAAATCGGTTTGATCTCGCCATCATAGTAATAAGTATTCTGCTCACTAGGAGACATGGGCTTATATTAATTTTTTCTTAAAACAACCCATTTAAATAGAGTTATTCATAGATTTTAGTTCCCTGTGGAGAGCTACAGAGAGGGATCCACTTCCTGTTTAGTTGGTGTCTTCACTTTAACTGAAAAACTTGAATACATGTGAAATGTCTAATACACAAAAATAAAAAGGTGAAGAATTTTAATTCCACTGGTGCAGGACAGGGAGTGGAGCATTTCTGAGATAATTGTACATTGTGAGGTAGAACTAGACAAGAGGTTGTTTCTCCAGAAGGCAGCATGGGAGACTGACTGCTGTAGCAACCAGCTGGGCACTTAATTGGCAAGTTTTAGGCTTTTGGGTGGTAGGGTTGGTTTGTTTTTTTTTTCAAGTACTAGAGGAAGTTACTGTGAGATTTCATCTAAGTATCATAAGAAACTTGAATTAACACACTAGCTTTGTAATCATTATTTCTTAAAGCTTTTAGTCCATTTTCTTTGCATCTTTTTAAAGGGATCAACCACATGATCTGATTGTGTGGGATTTTTCTGTAAATAAAAGCCGAGTGCTGGGGATGTGTGGGGCTGGTAGAGCAGGGCTGAGATGCAGTGACAGAAATACCCAGTGGAAGTAACAAATTGGCCTCTTATGCAAGACTTGATTTTCATCTGTGCTTTCTTCCATTACACAAAGTTTGCCTACTGGGAAAAAGGTGGGAAAAGTCCTGCAGGTAGTGGAATTGAGTCCTCTGTGCAGGTGTGGGCTCAAGAGACCAAGGCAGAAGCTCAGCAGAAGGTTCCCAGATGATCAGGGGACTGGAGCCCACAAGGAGAAGGGTCCATGTTGGAGCAATGTAACACATTGTACAGGCTGAAGGGACGTCAGGCAAATACCTTGTTTATGGAGTTGCTTTATGGAGTGACTTAAGATTTCTCTTTCTGGGATTAAATCCCTTCCATGCACAGGCCACTAACAGCACGTTATCCTAAGCCTTTCCATGCCTACATCCTTGTCTTTGGCCTAGATCTGCCTGTAGTTCCCATCAGAGCTGAGAACTGATTTCTTTGTTAATGACGTGTTTAATTCTATGGAAATAAACTATTGGTGCCATCTACATGAATGAGCAGTTCTGTGCTGCATATTCAAGGTTTGCAAATGCTGGCACAAAAGGCAAATATTTCCAAGCTGGCTGAATAAGTAGTTGCAAAGCATTTGCAAATCTGGGCTGAACTGCTGTAATTCTTTTGGAGTGCAGCCATATTTTGTACCTGCCTCAATGCCTTTATGTTAAATAATTTACTGAGAAGGGGAAGGGTTTGGGCTAGAGAGCCCCAGAAAGCAGAGCCCTCAGCCAACCAAATAGAAGTTTTTTGAGAAGTTTTTGTCCTTTCTGCTCTGTTTGTCATCACTGAAAGGGGGAGAATATGAAAAGCCAGCTCTACTTAAAGAATGAGCATTGTTTTATACTGCTACAAAGACAGCTTTATTAAACTGTGTGTGTGCTGGGGAATGTTCATACAGTCAAGTGATATCCTGGTATATCCTCCATAAGATGGAAGTGTTACCCACAGGGGCATTAGTTTAAAAAATGGTACTCACATCAACATGCAAAACATACTGGCTTGAAACACAGTAGATAAGCAGCACATAGTGCCTGACCTCCACACTGGAAAGAAGTGTGAGCATTAAAGGTGCTGCTTTCCTTGGAAATCATTCCCAGTGTTGCTTATACTTCTGTTGTCTTTCTCTTCCCGGTATTTAAGGTCCTACACAGAGTGAAAGCTCCAGAGTAAGGACTGATACACGGTAAGACTTTATTCCTCTTTTTCTTTCTCTATTCAGCCTTTTAGTGTTCACAGTTTTGAAAGAGGAACTGTATGTTTTATAAAGGAGACAGTGAAAAATTTCTGAATATGTCCTGCAGCAGCATCTGCTAAGATCTGAGCATGTCCTAAACAAAAATACTATATGGTTGTATATTCACATATATTGAAGTGTTTGCCATGTGAACCCCATCATCTGGCCTCAGTTTGCCTTCATACATGACTGATTTTTGGTTTTTTCCCTTCATGTTCATCTTTCTCTCAAAAAAGATAAAAAGTAAAATATATATATATATATATAAATAAAGCCAAAACCAAACAAATAAAACCCACTGGTAAGTTGGTGGCACTGGTTATTTTTACACAGGTTTGCTTTATAGCATGGAGGTATCAGAATTATATTTAGCTTTGTTAAGAAGATCCCAAAAGCTGTCTGGCACTTACAGTGTTTTAAGGTCGATACCAGATTATGAGCCCTGCTGCTTGGTAGGATAAGTGTGTGACCAGCACCATGTTACTTGAATTAGTTCCCAATACTACAAGTATTTTAAGGATCTGTACAGGACACACATCATTACTGGATGACACCTGGAGTAGCCAAGTTACATTTCAGTGTTTTTTTTAATAGACTGTACCCTTGGCTATGTTGTCTGAAGTCTTCCCATGAAAGTTTATTTTTGTTCTGTTTGTTTTTCGTGCTCCAAAGAATGTTTCTGTGCTTGGGTTTTCAGAATACCTGAGTGTGTAATAGGATAATAATAATAATAGTGATTTGGTCTTAATACCAACTGGGGGGTTGGTCATTAAAGGTCCCTTGTGAGGATCATGTAAATGATCGGGAGAGGGACTTTCTACAAGGGAATATAGTGAAAGAAAAGGGTGAATGGCTGAAACCTGGTGAAAACCTGGGCTAAAGCCCTTACAGACTGGAGACCACTTTCATAGTCATTTACTTGGGGGCTGGTGTGGTAGGAATTACGTGCACCACAGCTGGTATAGAGCAAAAGTATGTTTGGCAATGATCCTGAGATCAAATGTACATGGTTCTACTTGGTCCTGTTTGACTTGTAATTACTTAGTCTTACCTGCTGGTTTTTATTTTGTGTACATTTAAAGGCATGTCATTTTAGAGGTACTGGGCTGAAACTGTAACCTCTGGTTTTATTACTGATGGCCTATGTGCTTGACCTGTAAATCCAGTACAATTTTAGTTGATTTTGCTCAGCATATTCTGAAAAGAAAATTCTTTAGAATAAGTATGTAGGTACCTGTAACTCTGCTTAAAGAGCTACAAATATATCAGAATAATACTCTGCTAGGCATAACTGAACAGCACAGAATGGTCAGTATTGCTGTGTAGTTTCTTAATTCCTGTAAAGTTGATCAGCTTATATTTGTAGCTGTTGATCAAAACTTTACTGCTTAGTCCTAAATTCTCCAGCCTGTTCAAGAATCGAGTTTAGGGGTAAATTTGGTATATGTGTAAGTAAGTGTTCTAAAAATTTGAAACACTCTCTGTGTTCTGAGTGCCTGCCAGCCCTATGGAGTGCAGGCACACAGGCTGTTCTCAGGTCTGAGCCAGCCTCTCATCTCATTAGAGGCAAGTGGAACTTATGGGCAGAAATAGCTGAGCAGCAAAAGCCAAAGCCTGGACCCAAAGGCAGGTGTATTGAGATTTTGGTGACAGATGTTATATATATCTCTGTTTTACAACCTTTCCGTTAGTTGAGGTTTCATGTGCCTCAGGAGATCAGATGTTTTTACAGATGCAGAGGTCTTCAAAATTATTGTGGATGTAAGAACCTCCCTTAGTTGTGATTGTTGTGTTCTAGTGTCTTGCACATATCTTTCCAACCCCCCTGGAAGTGTCCAAGGCCAGGTTGGACGGGGCTTGGAAGCAACCTGGTCAAGTGGAAGGTGTCCCTGCCCATGGCAGGGTGTTGGAATGAGATGGGCTTTAAGGTCCTTCCCACCCCAAACCAGTCTGTGATTTATAAAGTTTGTTGTCATCTGTGCACTGTTAGGACACTTCTTTGTGTCTTTTCTTGCAAAAGGACTAACTCAAATGGCCTTGAAAGCTCTGAAGAAGCTGCTTCCAGTGAAAACAAGACTGTTAACGGCAGTGACTCTCCGTTACTCACAAATGGAAGCTGCAAACCTGCCAGACCTCCCAGGCCTGCCAGACCCCCGCCCCCCACTCCCCGCAGACCCCCGTCGGTGGCCGGTACGTACCCGGGGCTGCACCCCTGGGGTGAGCACAGCTCCTTGTGCTCCTCGTGTTCAACTGCATTTTGATGGGAAATTCTTTGGCAGGTAACTTCCGAAGGAGTATTTTTTAGCTTGCATATATGGTACGTGTTTAATTGTTGTTACCAATACTAAAAATTTCTTGCTTCCGCATCTGCTCCGTGGTGGTTGCAGTGATCTCCACACAGAGTGGAGCTGGGGCCAGGAGAACACAGGGGAATTCTACTACTGCACTAAAGCACCCACTGAGGCTGAGAGGGAATGTACTGCAGGACTCACAGAACTGTCTCAAGTTGTTAATATTGTGTTTTGAAATACTAGTTATTTGTTTCTACGATTCTAGTTAAATTCTGTTAATTAGCAGCACTTAAAACATTCATTCCTCTTCCATGCTGATTTTTTTTTAAACTGTTTATTTAAAAACTACAAAACTGGAAGATCAGTAGTTCTGAAAAGTTAGTTGTTGTTTTTGGGGTAACTCCTTTACCCCCATACACTGCAATCTGTTTCAGTAGTCAAATTATTACATTTGATATATGCTGGGTGTGGATAGGATCTGCAATACAGTAAATACCTTTTAAAGATTATCCAGTGCATTTAGTTAATAAGGCCTGACTTGTATTAAACTTCTAACCTCACCCACCAAATGGCATACAGATAAAACTGAAAACATTTAAAGAATGTATGTGTTCTCCTCCCATTGCAATAGTTTCTTTTGTGCAGTATGAAATCTCTTCCTGAAAATTTTATGCTTATCATCCCTTAAATTACTATTCCAAATAATAAGTGGAAAATAATTAACTCATCGATGCAAGGAAGTACGTTTTTGTTTATCATCATTTAATGTCTACAGAATGCAAACAACAAGGTAAATATGATTTATTCTACCAGAAATATGAAAATTGTGCCATTCGTGGCAGTTCTTGGCATTTTTACAGTGAGACAGAACTGCTCTTTAGATTTTGTGTGAGCTGCAAGCAGTGGCTTTGTGTGCACTTTGAAACAGCAGTTCTTGCAGCTGTGCTTTTGTGATGTAAAGTTCTGCAATGGATTGGTGATAAATGTCAGTCAGAAGGTTTTTCCTTTCTTTCTCTGGTGTCTCTGACATCCCAGCGAGTGCAAATGGCCCTTCATCCACATCCACGGAGAGTGACGGGGCCAGTGCAGGATCAGTGGCAGGAACAGCCTCCAACACTCCTTCAGAGCAGAGCCCTGAGGGGGCAACAGCTGCGAGCACAGCTCCTGCCACTCCTGCCCTCACCACTCCTCCGGTGTCCAGACAAGTCCAGCCAGTAAATCCTCCACCTCAGGCACTTTCCACAGTCAGCCAAGGTCCTCTTCCACCTGGGTATGGCTTTAATGACTTTTTTCTCTCTCTGTGTGTGTGAGTGCTGACATTTCTGGTTTTGCTATATGTTACTTACAGTAGGTGTAACAAAACATTGATAACATCTGCCTTTTACTGCATGACAAAATCTCCCCTGAAAATCATTTGGTGGTTTTCATAACTGTTTTGTCTGGTTGGTCTTCAAGCATTCAAGAAAAGAATTACTCTGTCAGATATTTTTGATACTTATCATATGTTCCCATGTCAGTGAAACACAGGTTTTAAATGGTGTGGTACCTTGTGGTCTTCAAATTAGAATGAGATCAGGCAGGAAAATATTGGTACAGATAAGCAGAAGAAAAGCTGCTGTTCCAGTACTACTCTGTGATGTCTCCTGAAGATTTGGATTTCATACTGCAGCTCCTCATGGTTATGTTTCAGGCACATGGGGAATTGGCCAGATGGTTGGTTTGTTACCTCAAATCTCTCATTTAGATTCTAAACTTAAAAAAAAGAAAAATAAGTAAAAGTTTCTGGAGTCTGAGTGATGGAAAGCAAAAGCTTCCTGATGTGAGTTGGTGAAATACCTGCCTTAATTTGCAGACAGTTGAACCAAAAGGTAGGAGAGGTCTAAATAACCTCACAGAATAACTGAAATATAAAAGCAGTCTTGAAAACGTCAGTTGTTGCTTTATCATTTTGATTTCAACAGAAATGGCAAATTATCATGTTCTTTTTTTCCCTGTGATGTTACATGTGATGCAAATACAGGGGTAAGTCATTATCCCAAATGCTGCATAGACAGAAAATGTGAGCAGTGCCCTTATGGTGAACTCTGCATATATGTGATCACTGCAAAATGTGCATATTTTTTAGGATTTATTGAATTAATGCTACTCTAGAAGTGGATTATGATCTAGAAGTGGTTCTGTTCAACAGGTTATTAATACACTTGATACTGAATACAAAACTTTGCTAAAATTATGCACATAGACATAAATTTTAGTTTCAGTTTCCCAAAAAGTCATGTAGAATGTTTGGGGTTTTTTTTATTTTAGTTGCCACAGAATCACTGTTAATATGAACACTGTACCACTTCTGGTGCACCTCGTGAGCCAGGTGTTAGTTACAAGCATTTTATTTAGAGAGAAGCATTTTATGAAAACAGATGTTTCTCATCTCCGTGCTGTAGAGGAATGGTTGGAGTAGTTTGACCTGGAGGAATATTAAAATATTTGATCTGTTTTCAGTTGGGAGCAAAGAGTAGACCAGCACGGCCGAGTCTACTATGTAGATCATGTTGAAAAAAGAACAACGTGGGATCGACCAGAGCCTCTTCCTCCAAGGTGAGCCAGGATCAGCCATATGATCATCTGGAATATATCTGGGGTTTTCAGGAACAAATTGCCTGACAGTTTACTAAAGCTAGACAGCATGTTGGTAAGTAGAAATGTGAACCCAGTGCAAATGATGGCTCCAGGTTGTCTCTGAGGAGTACATGGTATGGAGGAGGGTTGAATGTCCGAATTCCCATCAAAGATTAAGCAAGTGCATCTTTACTGACTGAAAAGTGGATTTCAGTTAAAGACAGTAGGCACCCCCAAGTGTAAAAGAGAACCAAACCCACAGAAAAGTGTTTTGGGATTGAGGTAACTATCAGCTTGAGCAGGAATGCTCTTGGTTGCCTCTTATCCTGAGGTTACTGTTCACAGGCCTTTGATCTTGTCTCAGGGTTCCCAGCTGCTCATTTACTATGCACATAGAAACCAGCTTTGGTTATTAGGCCCTTCTAGTTCCTGGCAGCAGAACAGCCCACTGGCTGTTTTAGTTCACAGTTGTTCTATGTTTCTTAAAAAATATAAGAAAAACACAAGAGCTATTCTGTTGCACTTCATTCATCCTCAGGTGGTTCACACACTAGACAGACAGTATTACAAAGTAAAAATGTGGAATGGGAAAGAGCATGTTATTAAAGAACAAAAACTGGCAGACAGTCTCATAAAGGGAGCCCACTTGTCATATTTCAAAATATTTTGAACTCTTTGAGAGGATCAACTACTGTATTACTTAAACTTACTCAGAATGTTATGTTTTCTTTCAAGTTTTGTAAATAGTACCGATTTCACATGAACTGAAAATTAGAAAGAAACTCAACACAAAATCAAACCAATACACCAAACCCAATGCCAAAACCTTCCTTTTCTGCCAAATCAGAGTGTGAGGGAGTCTTGCATTGAACAGCCCAAACTGCCAGGGGTTTTGCTGTGTCTTTAGGAGAAACCATAGACTTGTGTTATGGGCTGCGTGGGATGACTGACTGCAGTGATACCAGCACAGTATGGCTGGGGTTTGGGCAGCTCTTAAAAGCTATTTACAGCAACCCTAAAAGTAGAGAAAACGGAATGAGTCTGACTTTTTATAGTATGCAACAAATAAAAGCGACTCTCCTAAAACAACTTCAGCTCTTACATCATTTTAGCGGAGGGTCCAAGGGGGAAAAGCTGCTGCTGCGCCCCTGCTTTTTATTCCCTCCCCACCCTGCCTGTTGCCCTCAGAGTGCCCCTGAGCCCTTAAACTGCTGCTATTCACAACCGTGGCTTGTGATTTTTTTTTTCCCAAGCTGGGAGCGCCGGGTTGACAACATGGGCAGGATTTATTACGTCGACCACTTCACCAGGACGACGACGTGGCAGCGGCCGACGCTGGAGTCCGTCCGCAACTACGAGCAGTGGCAGCTGCAGCGCAGCCAGCTCCAGGGGGCCATGCAGCAGTTCAACCAGAGGTTTATCTATGGGGTAAGGACTACAGGCACCACCAGCAAGGTTAGGGTGGTTTTGGGGTTTGGGCATGTTTGTGGGTGACCTTCCCCCACAAAGACACCAGACTTTGTTATGGTTTGTTCTTTATCCCAGTACAGTGTCTGTGTGTGTGCTGTGGCAGGGAGGGCTCACTGTAACCCTGGTTCATGTCCTTGTGGTGACATGAACTAAGTGACATTACACATGCAGTGGACTGGGGGTTTAGTTGTCAGCTGAATACAAGTGGTGTTCTGTGATAAAAATGTGTGTATGGTATCGATAAAGCCTTTGGTTCAAATCAAACTGCAGCTGAGTAGGAAGCTGGTTTATTTGTGTGGTATCTTGTATTGCCTTGGGCAAACACCTGGGAGGTAAACAAGCTCACAGACCATACATTTCTGCTCTGGGTAAAATGAGCCATGCACAGTGAATGTTGTTAGGAAAGCAGGGAAATTGAAAACAATCCTTCCAGAATTTCAAATCCATTGTTTGCCTCTGATGAATAGCAGGCATTAGATCAGTGCAACTCATGCTGCCCGTTTATCAGGAGTGGTGAAGGTTGTGAATTTGCTGTAAGTGTGAGAATAAAGTGGAGCCCCTAAATGGTGGTAGGGAGATCTGTACTGACTGCAGGAGTGAAGTGATTTGCTTTCTGATTGTTTTGGGTGCTACTGTACTAATTTCCTTCTGCGTAGGCAGGGCCACCAAACAAAGAATAATTATTTCTTGGCACTGTAGTTAATTAGGCATGCCAAGGGTCGGTAAAATAGATCTTCTCTGGGGAGAAAAAGAAATTATTGGCATCTTTGCTTATGTGTAATGTTAACAAAAATGCATTTAATTCAATAGTTCAGGATGGCTATGGCAGAACATCTGGAAAGCAAATGCCTAGTCATTAATGCCTCATTTGTTTGTGTGACTTGCAGAACCAGGACTTTTCATCCACACAGAACAAAGAGTTTGATCCTCTTGGCCCTCTGCCACATGGATGGGGTAAGGCTGACTTGAAAGTGGTTTGTAATGCAATGTAATTAAACATTAAAGCATACTTCTGCCAAATTATTTGTGAGCTGTTCTAGGCTAGTTTTAAAAATTAAAATCTGGATTAAAAATATTTTAAAATTAGATCTAGTCAAATGTGCTGTTAAAACAGAGTCCTGACAAGGATATGCCATTTCAAAGTAGATTAGAAACTATAAAGTATTTTGGTTTACTCCCTGTAATGAGCATAATAGTTTCTTTCACACTGTCATCCTTTTATGCCTTTTTTTGGGCAGGATCCCCCTCCACTATCCTGTTCCTGCTAAAAGAGGCTCCAAATCCTCTCTAAATCAAACTGCCAAATTCCCTCTCCAAGGCAATTCTTGGAGAGTTTTGTTGGTGTGAAAATGTTTTTTATAATGACAACTAACCACTTCTTGACTTGCCCCTCTCCCTGGAATGAATCTGTTCTTGTACTTTACAGGGTTGAGAATTTACAATTAATATAAATTTGGGTGAGGTGTAGTCCAAAAATGGAAATGTAAAACTAATTTCTGGCGTGACTGTCAAGTAGATATAAGAATTCAAGTTTTATGATACACAAGCAAAGCTCTCAATTGTGGAATTTTAAAGCAAGTAATTACTTGTCAGAGTTGGAGCTGGGTTTTTGGCTCATCTGCTTTTCAAACAGAACTATTTGGATTTTTAGTCCTGGTATTGATGCAATTTCATGCCATAAAACTGTTGTTCCCCACACTTATGCTGAGGTACATTACCAATATAGCGTTTCAAAGGAAGGTCTTTGGGCTGACATTGTCCAGGCAATGGCAAAACTGAGTTTCCACATCATGTGGAATTCTGTTATAGCACAATTCCATGGACAAGTATCTACTTCCAGACTTCTCTTGGAAACTGAAGCTTTTGACCTGTGGTAGTCAGACTTTTCTCATTTTTATAACTTGTTTCTCATGCAACACTAAATAAAAATGGCACGAACTGCAGAATGGTACAAAAGGGCAAGCTGGAGCATTCCTCCTAAGCTTTGTTGAACTGTGGGCATACTTTAATCTATATGAGAGAAAATATAAATGGGGTTTCTTGGAAACTACATTGACCATTTTTCATTCCCTGCTCTAATTTGGACACGAGGCCCTTGTACTGTCTCGATACTCGTGTCTACATCTGTTCCCTGTTCTGTTTGCTGTCTGTGTTGCTTGTCAGGAACATCACAATATTCAAAGCAGCTGGAATTTCCTGTGGACAAAACAGCTCACACTTGTCCTTTTTTCCAGTTAACTTTTCCTGCAACTGAAAAATACATAACACAATAAGGAATAAGGTCAATGACAGTGAAAAGATGTTGGATCAGAGGAGGTGCAGAGAAACCTATGGCAGGGCCTGGTGATATTATTTGTTTGATGTAGTCTCAGCAATATGTGAAGTGGTACTGACATTTTTTCCCCCTGCATCTTTTCAGAGAAGAGAACTGACAGCAATGGCCGAGTGTATTTTGTCAATCACAACACACGGATCACTCAGTGGGAAGATCCCAGGAGTCAGGGGTGAGAAATCAGTTGGATCTTCGTATAAGTCTGGAATGAAAATGTAGCAAAGTAGTGGGACTGGGAGGTGGGAAGTGCTGCCCACAGGTGAGGCATGGACTGTGCCACACAAATGTCAGACAGCTCATGAGAAAGGTAAAAGGTATTAACCAAAATGGAAACTGTCACAGTATTACTTAGTAATACTACAATTACCAAGGAAGTCTTTGTCAACAGCAATAAGCTCATTCCCCAGAAGGACCTTTTCCTCTTTCTATAAGTAATCCCATATGTCTCAGCATTTTTGTTGTTGGAGGAGGGAGAGATTTCTCTTGTATGGTGATGGGATAGTGCAGAGTCCTGAGTAAGACTTTGCTTGTTTCCTAGACAGTCACAGAATCATAGAACCAACTGGGGGTGGAAGGAACCTTAAAGCTCATCTCATTCCACCCCCTGCCACAGGTAGGGACACCTTCCCCTAGCCCAGGTTGCTCCAAGCCCCATCCAACCTGGATAAGAGACAGAATGAAGACAAACCTAAGAAACTGCAGCACCCCTTCTCACACCTTTTTAAAAAAGGAGGGGGAAAAAAAAGACACAGAGAAAAAGCACTGGAATTCTGTTTATTTTGGGCTCTGCCATTCAGAGTCTTTGAGGTAAGGAATGGAGGCAGGAAGCTGAGGGTGAACTGTTCAATCCTAACTCCTGTTTGAGCTGAAAAATTCCATTTGGTGAAGCAACTCCATCTGTCCTTGAAGGAGAAGAAGGGGAAGGGGAATAGCCTAGTATGTGTGAGGGATAATAGCTGTATCCAGGGATAACTTTTCCTTCCCAGTTACCTCTGCAGCAGCTGAGTCTGGAGAACACTGTTGCTCTTAAAGCAACCCAACAACCCAATGTTTAGGATGCACAGTCAGGACCATGGACCTACACGGTTCCCTGCTTGTGGAGGGAAGTCACTGTGGAGCACTTTGCAGGGACCCTACTCAGATCTTCCAAATATATTTTGTTTATACCAAAATTGAGTTGGAAGTTGTCAAAAAATTATGCACAATCGGTATTTACATTTTCTTTTAATTTTGTCATTCTGAAACACATTTTTGGCTGCTGTCATTATACACAAGATACCAAAAGCCACTTATTAAAACAGTGACACTTTTGGAGTAAAAATATAATAGTTAGAAGATAAAATTCTGTTGTTTGTGGAGGAAACAATGACACCTGGCTTACATTTTCCCCTTAAGTTTCTTTTTGCCTTTATTTCGTGTAGTGCAACCAAATGAGCTAATGTTTACTTCAGCAGTCACTTTGGTCTAATTGAGAGCTGACTGCAAATTGAAGAGGGTGAAAAAAGGCAGCATAAATCTTGAATGGGAAGTTTCTCAATCTGTAGGTTTTCTAGACCTGCCAGAATTTTTACTGTCTCAGGTATTGTTCAACTGACTTTAAGTTGATGTGTTACCATGTTTTTTCTTGTGTCCATAGTCAGTTAAATGAGAAACCCTTACCAGAGGGCTGGGAAATGCGATTTACTGTGGATGGAATTCCCTATTTTGTGGATCACAACCGCAGAACCACCACGTACATAGATCCCCGCACGGGCAAGTCTGCTCTGTAAGTGGGTTTAACTTCATACCAAGCTTTCAAAAGTGAAGTTTAGCACACATCATTTTTGAAAGGTTTATTTTTTTCCTCTTACTACATTTCTAGGCAGAAAGTTTTACATGTAGCAATGCTCCTTAATTATCTGGGCTTTTCCATGCACTGATGATAAGTCCCTGGAGAAGGCAGAGTTCTGAACGCTTAGAATCCTTCTTGACAAGTAGTGTGTGAGATTTGAGGGTAATGCAGGAGCTGCATCTGTCCTGTTGATGACCAAATCCTTTCCTTACACCTACTAGTCTTTCTCATTAAAAGTACACTCCACCCTTTCTTTCTTTGATTTTTTTTTTTTTTTAGGACTAAAGTTAAAGCCAATATTTAACTCCCAACTTAAATTAACTGAATGTCATCACATCCTTATTGTTATAGACTTTTTTACAGGTAAAATTTAGATATTGTTTAAAACATACAGTGTGTGCATTTCACAATTGACAAAGGAAGATTTATTTATTTTTTTTAATTTAAAACCAAGAAAATTACACCCCAAAATCAAAAATTGTGACTAAGAATGTCCCAACTAGATAGCCAACTGAGGCATACAGCTGTATAACTAATACATTTGCAGGCTTTTACTTTGCTTACAAAAACACTTGTGAAATGCATTCCCCCCCTCCTTTTGGTTCCAGAGACAACGGGCCCCAGATAGCCTATGTGCGTGACTTCAAGGCCAAGGTCCATTATTTCAGGTTCTGGTGTCAGGTATGGATCCATTTCTTGGGATTTCTTGCATTTTTGGGTTGTGCTTACATGCTTTAAATGCTTCAGTGCCTTGCAAATACACATAATCAAACTCCTTTAAGCTTAAGGATGAGTTAAATTAGGAGGGAGTAAATACAGGACTTGTGTAAACTCATGGAAGCTTTAAAGCGAGGTAAGCTATGGCTTTAAAATGTTTTAGAATAAAGGAAAAGCTCAATTTCACTACTGCTTTTGAAGTGGTGGGTTTCTGAATAGTGTTTTCTTTCTGTTGTTAATACAGGAATATATGGAGGCACAGTAATTTATGGTTAATACAAGATCTTCTTTCTGTAGAAATACTTCTGGTAGAAAATGCAGGGCATTTGACACACAACAGACACGTCTAAGCACTGAAGAATATACGGTGGGGCATGTTAGTGTGCTCCAACATAATTCCAAATTCCAGTGTGTCAGTCCTGGTTTAAATATTCCAGTCAGTTTAAATATTCCAGCTTTCAAGAGTCAGTGAATTATCCTTTGAAAATAGTGGAGAGACCAGCCTAATTTCTCACTTTGGATTCTGTGCACTATAACCTAAATTTTCTAATTTTGTGTTAATAAAATTCCAGAATGGTTTGGGCTGAAAGGGACCTTAAAACACACCTCACTGAACCCCCTGCCATGGGCAGGGACACCTTCCACCAGCCCAGGTTGCTCCAAGGCCCGTCCAACCTGGCCTTGGACACTTCCAGGGATGGGACACCACAGCTTCTCTGGGCAACCTGTGTGGTAGCAATTTGTTCTTGGAGTAAATTACAATTCAGATATCTTGATTACTGGGTTTATTTTATGTGGATTAATGAAATTCAACTGTGCCTTTTAATATATACTACAAATAACAGTCCAAACTCAGTATTGGAAACTTTAAGTGACTGTACACTTCACCTCTAAAAAATTTTCTTTCAGCAACTGGCAATGCCACAGCACATAAAGATCACAGTGAGCAGGAAAACATTATTTGAGGACTCCTTTCAGCAGGTATTGTGTTAAAACATGGTATAGTGGGCATGAAAAATGGAGTTATTTAAATTTGTCACATATTCTTGATCCTTTAATGTCTTGCTAACGTTATTTTAAATGAGACCGACTGAAAAATACTAACTTAATAGTTAGGCTGATATATTAAAAGATCATGCTAAATCATGAAGTTCTGGCACTAGACTGATTCATCTAACAGAGAAGGTGTTTTGTTTTTTTAAGTTTTTCTTCAGAATGCTTTCAAACATAGTTAATTTTGAAGGGAGCACTGGGGCAGAGCAGCTCCCCATTCTCAGGAAGGTTTCATGTTGTGCTTATGTTTGGCACACTTTTCCTCACAATATGTTACATTAGCATGGGCAATGTGCCAAAGTACATTAAGTGGATCTTAGTCTGGGTGTTATGGGTCTTGAAGTGAGTAATGAAATAGTTAAAGCAAAAATTGTTAATTCTATTTAGATTATTAGTTGCAAAATTCTTGTTAATGTCTAGACCTAAGGCCCAGTTAAAATTTTTCCAAATTAATAAATTGTTAGCCAATAGTAATAATTCTAGCCAGCGCTTGTAGTTGTTTTCTTAAAAAGAACTGATTGTTTTTCTTTTACTAAGATAATGAGCTTCAGCCCTCAGGATCTCCGGAGACGTTTGTGGGTTATTTTCCCTGGTGAAGAAGGTTTAGATTATGGAGGTGTTGCAAGGTAACTACACTGAAATGGCAAATAACAGCTTGTTCTGCAAGTGATGGTGTGAAGGCATCCCCAAAGGAGATATTCCAAACTGCAGTGCTTTCACAACAGTACTGAAGTTTATTCCTTATCTTTCCTCGGAACATCTGAGGAAGGCGGTTCTGGAAGATGTGTTTGCATGTCTGTATTAAATGATTTTCAGTTTGCATTAGGAATGACTTTAATCATCTCAGTGATTAAAGAGATGCAGTTCACTGAACTACAATGAACCTTTGGCATAACTGTTAATCTCAGAGTAGAGTTGACTGAAAAAGTGAACAGAAATCTACGTTTAAGTCCAAAGTCTTCAGTGGAATGGAACCGAGAAGTTCATATGTTAATGAGCATTTCCCAAAGCCTGAATGTTTAGATCAGAAATGTGCTCATTTAGACAAGGATGTGTTTTATCCAAACCACTGCCAGTTGTGTATCGTTGTAGCTTTGCATCTTAATTTGTAGTTTGCTGTAGTTTCCTTGGGTGTCAGTGGGCTGGCTGCTCTCTGGGGAAGGACTCTGCCAACAGGTCCTGAGTCAACACAAGTTACCTACAGTAATTTCTGCTGTGTCATTATGTTGAAATGTGTTTTTATTGTTTGTGTGATTTCAGGGAATGGTTCTTTCTATTGTCACACGAGGTTTTGAACCCCATGTATTGCCTGTTTGAATATGCAGGGAAGGATAATTACTGCTTACAGATAAACCCAGCCTCCTACATCAACCCAGACCACCTCAAGTACTTCCGATTCATCGGCAGGTTCATTGCCATGGTAGGTTCTGAAGCAGAAAGGGACTCTCTCCTGTAATGTTCCTATAAACAAATATTGTGCCATTATAAATGGACAATTAAACAGTTCATTTTTGAGCTGAAATTCTTATCAGGTGTTTGTATGTAACTAAGCTAATTCAGCATATTAGCAGTCACGATATCCATGTGGGTTTAATTCTTTGGCTGTCAGATTTCATGGGTACAGAGTACAGAATGTTGTCATATTAGGTATTCAGTCATCCTTTGCATTATTTTGTCTGGTTTTGTGTTTTGCAGGCTTTGTTCCACGGGAAGTTCATTGACACTGGTTTCTCTCTGCCATTCTATAAACGGATCCTAAACAAGGCAGTAGGACTCAAGGATTTAGAATCTGTTGACCCAGAGTTTTACAACTCTCTCATCTGGGTAAAGTGAGTTTGACTTGATTTTGTTCTTGAAATAGCAATACAATGTTTTTGATTTTCACTTATATCAAGAAGTAGGTGTAAATTTATTACTAAAAACCCCACTGAGAAGTATAATCTCTCATTGCAGAGCAGAATGGAATTTCTACTGGAACTTTAGATACACAAAGAATAATTTGTTAATACAAAAGCCTTTCTGGTTCATTGACTATTCTGTGCAGCATGTTGGGGTCCATTTTTGCTGGTTTTTAGTAATTCTAGTTGGACATAGAGATGTGGAGTCTTGAACTTTATTGTTACAAATAAAGTGGCTTCAGTAAATTTCTGTGAGACTTTTCAGATAACTGATTAAAAAAATCAGCAAAAATCCATTTAATGTTTCTCTAGTACCTGATTTAGTTAGAAAACAAAGTTTAGTGCTACACTAACATGAAGTTAACAAATGTAGTTTATTATTTACTACCATGTCATTCTTTTGACTTTAAGGTTAGTATTGAAGATTTAATGCTTTAAGGAAGTTAATGCTCATGTATTTTGCTAGCTGTCCTGGGTTTTTTGCTCCAAGTTTAATGATTCCAGAGCATTCCTACATGCAGCCTTCATGTATGCATGGTCAGCCACATACCTGTTTGTCCATACTCTTTTGGAGTCCTCCTTCTCCACTCCTTTGCAGATTCATCTCCAGAGAGCAGCAAGTAAAAAGGATGTGGAATTTCTAGGCCATTATTATTTTGGAATTATGTATTATAAATATTTTAAGAAAGAATTTTTAAAACCCCTTAGATCCAAAGCATTGTAATTCTATACTGATTTTGTAATAGGAAGATGCCAGGATGACAGTCCATGGCTGATGTTCACCATTTGTTTCGGTAACAGAAGCGATTTTCCTTTCCCAGCAGTTAAAAAATAATTTAGAAGGGAAAAAGACAAATTCAGTTAATTTTTCTTTTTTTGCTTCTGATCCAGTAAAAGCAATTTAGCAGAAAAATTAGTCTTCCTTGTCACTAGAGACATAAAACATTTTACTTAAGAATCATACGAAGCCAGAGTAGTGTTAAACACGCTTCGAGAAATTCATAAAAGGTGAGGATAGATTGGTTTTTGAAATGCACAACTAAATATAAAACCCAGGATTTTCATCTCCTGTAGTACTGAATCTTGGAAGCATTACCTTGAATAATGAGGAGAGGAGAAAGCAGCTGTATGATCTGTTTAAGAATTGAGATAGGGATTTTGATTTGACTTTCAGAGCAGTATGTTCTGTACTCCATGTATGTGCTGTTAAAGTGCCTTCACTTTAATTCAAAGCAATTTCTGTAGTGATGAAAATATTCTAGACTGGAGTCCAGGAGGGGCTTTGCCCTTTCAAAAAAACACTTAAGGATGTGAAAATTGGAGGAAAGCCTTCAGAGCTCTGAGAGGGGATACACGGAGCCCTCAGTACAGACCCAGCTGCAGTGCAGCTGACCCTGCTGCTCTGAGGAAGGGACTGCACATTTATAGGGGAAAAGAATCACATCTGTCAGGGCAGACATCGTTTTTTTCCTCACCAGAAAAGCAAATTTTATAACTCTGCAGGAAGCTTTCAGTAGCTTTGAGTTCCTTGACACGGTTTGGAAGACTCACAGAATCACTGAGTTTGGTAGGGGACCTTTAGAAGTCATCTGTCAAACCTCTGTGCACAAAGTGAGCTACAGCAGGTTTCTCTTCTTTTCAAAGGAAGGGGTGATTTTGTCATCATCCATCCATCTGAAGCCTTCCCTCCTCCCCCCAGGTTTCCTGCAGTATTTTGGAAAGATGAAGTTCAGACACTCAGTTGCACCACGGGGCTCAATAAACCACAGCCATGCTTTCAAGACTGACATTTGTGTGTTACAGTTCAGGACAAATATCTTGAATTTGCGCTTTATTTCAGACAAAAATGGTCATCAAAAGCTCTGCATATGCAGGCAGTTCTTCACAGAAACATGTATCAACATAGAAATTAGTGTTGTACCTGTTACCCTTCTGGCTATTAATGCCTATAAAGAGAAGAGAGTTAGTTTTGGCTTCAGATTGTTCCTGTGTTGAAATTTCTTGGAGACTTCCTCTTTAACACTATTTGTACTTAATTAACTTAAGAGTTTGGGACACTGTAGTATATGTTTACAAAACTGCCATAAAAAGGCTGGAGTTAAGAGATTATTCATTGACCATGAAAAGTGGCTTCTCACCTGCTGTTACCTGTCAGTGACAGCTACCTTTGAACACATCCTTGCATTAGCTGAGAGAAGGGGCAGTCATGCCATGGAATCTGCAAAAATAGCATTGCTTGAGAAGCTTCTATTCCATAGACATTCCTCAGATCAGGAGGTAGTTGGTCAGCCTTGTGGTTGCTAAATTTGAGAGTTGTGCTGATCAGAAGTTTCCAATCAGGAGTACAATTCATGTGTGCACATTGGCAAAATGAGTCAGGACTTCTTGCAAAGCCATAATTATCATGTGCTCCACACCTTTTATCTTTAGGTTCTTCATGCTCATCTCCTTTATTGCATACAAGGTCTCAACACAGTTATTTAAAATTATACTTTCTTCCTTACAGAGAGAATGACATTGAAGAGTGTGGCTTGGAAATGTTTTTCTCTGTTGATAAAGAAATATTAGGTGAAATCAAAAGCCATGATTTGAAGCCAAATGGTAGCAACATTCTGGTCACAGAAGAAAACAAAGAAGACTACATCAGGTAAGAATAAGTGAAGACTTTAAAATACTCTTTCTGTCATTTTCTTTCTTAAGTTCTGGCAGCAAAAGACCATCTGTGTCACTTGAAGCATTGCTGAAATTTTGTCTCTGAGTAATTGCTGATGTTGGCAAAAAGTGACACTCATTTGGATCTCATGTTTGAAAGAGGAATATTGATAGAAATATGTTTCTAAAATCGCCTTTTCCCAAAGACTGTGGTTAGAAGAAAGTCCACTTTTTCTAGAGGTATTTAAGTTTAGCAGAACACCATCACAACAAATATGAATGTCAGGTATTTCATGAAAGCTCTGCACGTGTTAATTACTGTAATTATATTGCTTCAGAGCCTGCTGATACTCTACCCAGCCAGTGGTTTGGTTTGGGGTTTTTTTTAAGAACATTTCTGGATGCTTTCCTGATGATTCATATTTTTAAAAAATAGTTGCAATTCCATCTAGTTTTATCTGAACTGATGTCACAGTCTAATTGTAACAGGACAGTGTTATGAATGATCTCATAAATTGTATTCTCATAAATGAAGAATTATATTTGCAGTACCAGAATGTTTTAAAGCAATAGATTAGGAGAGAAGGAGCCTAAGAGCAATTAAGTCATACACTTGTGAACAGTGACCTGCTTTGTCCCTAGATATCCCCTCCTTCCTCAGTGTGCAGCAGTAGAGAAGCTGATTTAAGGTGTGAACTTCAACACACAGGCTTGGAGGATGTGCTTGCAAAAAAAATCACACATTGCAGGCACAAACTAAACTGAGTCACAGGAGAGTTTTCCTGTTTGTTATGATGTGTTCTGGAAGGCTTTTTCCACGGGCAGGGGGAGGGAGAAGGGAGTGGATTCTGTTTTCATCACATGAGGAATCTGTCACTTCAGGGATTCACAGGAAAGGTGGTGTTTGCAGAGGAAACACACTGGCATTTGGCAGGAGGAGGGAGGATCTGCAGAAAATCATTCCCTTCTAGTTTGTAGGAACTACAAAGTTTGTAGAAACTCCCTTCTAGTCTGTAGGGAGAGCTCAGATTCCAGTTTTACTCACTTTCTTTTGTCTTGCTCTTTATCTGCTTTAAATCCCCCAAGTTTCTAGGATTGAAATAAGAAATAGCCACCTCTCCTTTAGGCTCCAGTGCTCCTGACAGGTTAGGCTTGGATTTAGTATAATATCTGCTTCTCCTTGGGTTCAGGTTCTTTGAGTCTCCTGTCTGCTTTTCACCCTTTTATTAATGGAGAGTGGAGTTTCTGCCCCAGAGCAAAGTTTTAGCCTTAACAGAAACAAATATGGAACTTCCAAAGGGACACAGTCATTCTGGTAAGCCAGCAGTCCTGCTTGCTCTTTCCCAGTACAGCTTGACTTGGTTTTTACCTTGTCATGGATCATGACTGAGATTTCTGGGGAGAATATTGAACAAAATCAGCTCTGCATTTTGAACTGTCTTCAAATACCTCAGGACTGCTGTGCTCTCATGGAGGTAATCAGTGAAGAGATGCTGCCTCCTCTTTGAGTGTAAAATACTTCTGTAGCAGAATAGTTGGACACTTCAGGTTTAACTGAAAGAGCAAATGAAATCCTTTGCACAGAGTAAAGGTTACTAATGAAATTATACAATGCTCTATCCCCAGAACTTTCCAGACTTTCTGTATTTTTTTTAACTTAGCTTACATTTCATCTCAAAACAGGCAAAGATGAGGACTTGGGTTAGCACTGACCATTTAAATTACCCTTCCGTGTCTTCTTTTCCAGGCTAGTAGCAGAGTGGAGACTTTCCCGAGGTGTTGAGGAGCAGACACAGGCTTTCTTTGAAGGCTTCAATGAAATTCTGCCACAACAGTATTTGCAGTATTTTGATGCAAAGGAACTGGAGGTAAAGGATTGTTTGGCTGTTGCTGGATCCAGCTCATTACACATGAAATCCTCTTAACTGCAGTCAGTACATGTGAAGAGCAGAGCTCACTAAAGCTGACACCTCTGTTTTATGGAGGAAACTTTATGGAGTACTATTAGATTGGTGTGTTTTCCTGAACTTGCCTCTTAGCAACCTACATAGATGTTTCTAAAGGCCAAGATTCTGTCAGCAGAAATTTCTTACTGAGTTGCTTTTGTAATCCTGAGCAATTTGATTTGGCTGTTTTCAAAGAATGAGTAACCTGATAAAGGGAGATAAAGCCAGATATGCAATGAATGCTTGCATATAGATTGGACCTGGCTCTAGATGGGTTTGATCTCTCAAAATCACAATTTCTGAAGCATCTAAAAACCAAAAACATCAAAACAAAACATCCTGTCCCTAGTGGAGAATTTTATGGCTGGGCAAAGATAAACTGTTCTGGCTTGAATTGTCTGTGTAGAATCACAGAGGAGTTTGGGTTGGAGGGACCTTAAAGCTCATCTTGTCCCACCCCCTGCCATGGGCAGGGACACCTTCCACTGTCCCAGGTTGCTCCAAGCCCCGTGCAACGTGGCCTTGGACACTTCCAGGGATGGGGCAGCCACAGCTTCCCTGGGCAACCTGTGCCAGGGCCTCCTCACCCTCACAGGGAAGGATTTCTTCCTGAAACTGCAATCAGTTCCTTATGGCAGAGATGCTTTTTATTTTGTAGCCTCTCCAAATAAACTTCATAAGCAGTCAATATTTTTGTGTAGAAGTTTCAGATAAAGTTTAAAATCAAAAACAAGTGTACAGTTATTGCAGGTGCTGCTCAGGGTGGGTGCAGCTCGTGTGCTGCTTTGCTGTGTGGGAGGTCACAAAAGGAAAGTGATAACTTGTACTCATGCATGTATTTCCTTTTTTTTCCCCCCCAAAGGTGCTTCTCTGTGGAATGCAAGAAATAGATCTGAATGACTGGCAGAGACACACCATCTACAGGCACTACACCAGGACCAGCAGGCAGATCGTGTGGTTCTGGCAGGTTTGCAGACTTTGGTTTCTTGTCAGACCAGCAGAAGTCACAGAGCACAGCTACAGCTCAGGGCACAGAACCCTGAACACATCTGGAGAGTGCAAATATAAACTGTTACTGCTGATCCAGCTGTGGCACTTGTTTGTCTGTGGGTGATTATGATGTGAATATCTGAGTATCAAGTCAACTGTTTGTTTCAATTACTGTTTTTCAGTTTGTGAAAGAAATAGATAATGAGAAAAGAATGAGACTCTTGCAGTTTGTAACTGGAACATGCAGATTGCCAGTGGGAGGATTTGCTGACCTCATGGGTATGTATTAATAACCCCTCTAATGCAGCAGAGACTTTTTAAAAGAACCAAGTTATATATTTGTGGACATTTTAAGTGAATTTTATAATGAATGCTGTTTTGTAAGCCCTGCACATACTTGGAGCTATAATGGCAAAAGAGATGTATTAAGCTTCAAAATCACTTCAATTGATGCATTTTACCACATGCATAATTTTGATCCAGGCAGAGCTGTATAATGAGACATTTTTCTGTGCAAGTAAGGGTGATCTTTTCTTTGTTTAAGCCTTGCCTATTCCAGGTGTATTATATAGTATCATATAGTAATACAAAGGTAGCCAGACCTATGCCTTGTCTATTGGAATTTGTTACAGGGAGCAACGGACCCCAAAAATTTTGTATTGAAAAAGTTGGAAAGGAAAACTGGTTACCTAGAAGTCATACCTGGTGAGTACATAAAAACCCAGAATATCACTATTGCTCTGGTTTTTACTGACCACAACCTACTTGGAGGTGTTTTGGTAAATGGGTAATATACTGAAATGACTGGAACTCTGTAAAAGCAAACACAACTTACACCAATAAACTGTGTTGTTGAATAATAGCTGATCTTCTGGAAAACTCTTATAGCATGGAGTAGATTCCATTGCAAATTCCATGCATTTGTGTGTTACTGAACACTTAGAGTAACTAACAGTACTGTTTAAAGAGGTTTGTTATTACTGCACTCCACGTCTTCTTAGTGAAGGAGCCACATTCACACAGTCTTCCCTAGGGAAAAGGTCACTTCTACTCATTCCCTCAGGTTTTACCAGTTAGTAAAACCACACAAATTTAAAATTTCAAATCTGAATGATGACTCTAGTTAACCAGGTAGGAAGGGTTAGTGAAAACTATCACTGTTCAAGCACTCTGCTCTCAGAAATACATAAATTTATGTCAATAGTCAGCTTTTCACAGGGTATAAATCCCAGTATCCATCTGCACAGCAAAAATTAACCTGTTTTCATAACGGATTTTTTGTGACTGTTGAATTCTTTGTCAGTACCTAAGTTTTTTCTTTATTTTCAGTTTCAATCGCTTAGACCTTCCACCGTATAAGAATTATGAGCAGTTGAAGGAAAAGCTGTTGTTTGCAATTGAAGAAACAGAAGGATTTGGGCAAGAGTAGCAAAAATTTGCACCTTGAAGAATGAGAACTCCACACGATGTATGTTCTTCACTTCTTCTGCTTGTTGCACACTTCATTGTAAAGTAGACTTGACTTGGATTTATTTAACAATACTAATGTGTAAATAAATGGATGTTATCCTGAGGTTATCCACATTAACTCTGGATTTCTACTGAGCACCTTCAGAAATCAAATGAGCAATCAGATAATGGCTACAAGTGACTAATGACCGAAGTAGAGGTTTAATACAGCTTTGGGCTCTGCTTTGTTTTACCATTCATTAATTAGAATGTGTCCTTAATGACTGACAGATTTTTAACAATAGTTTTGTCTTTCCTTTTTAGTAGCATTTTTTGCTACTGGTGCACTGGGAAGTTCATTGGTAGCTGCAATGCTGCAGCAGCATCCTGAGCCCTCTCCACAGCAGTGTCAGAGCCAGCCAGCCTGGATCCACCTCTGTGCTGTGAGCAGCTCCCGTTCCTTAAGCTCCTTTTTCTAACTCAAGTGTGGCCAGACTGTTTTTCCCCACCTGGAGTCTGCTCACGTGCCAGCTGGACTCAAGCTGCTGTTAAGGGGATGTCAAACTGTGGCACAAATGCAGGGCATAGCTTGGCTTTGGTTTATCCCAACCCTGCTCCTGTCAGCAAAACAGACACCTGCCCAAAGTTGCTGGAACTGCTCTGTGCCCTCCGAAGGATTCTGATCTCTTGCTGTGTAACACATTTTAACTCTGAAATCAATATTAACACTGTGGTACTTCACTTGTTTTGCAAAAGACGAGCCCACCTGGGATTGCACTGATTGCCTTGAGGTCCCTGTTTGCAGGCTGATGTTTGTCAGCAGTGTTAATGGACATTGTCCTCGGTGTTTTTCCTACATGTTGCAGTCAGTTTGCTCCGAAGAGTTCGTTGGGTTCTCAGGAAGAGGTACAAAACAACTGGATTCAGAAAAGGATCCCACTCATCATCTCTGCGGATGAACTGATGTGTGAGACTGGCTGAGGCCAAGAGGATTAGGAAGTTCAGGCATGCATTACAGGTTTCTGAAATGCTGGAGCATCAGTAAATAGCTCAATAAAGTTTGAAACTCAAGTTTTTGGGAAGGTGTCTAGGCTAATTCACCCTCAGCTTCTTACAGCTAGTAACTTTTGTAGTGAGTTCCTGTTGGATTAACAGCATCCTTTTAGAATCTCTTAATATTCAGTTCTTTTCTGGTTTAAAGAACATGTTGCATTTTACTGCTTCTTTAGACTGAATGCACTTTTTGAGTCTGGTCAGCCCTTTCCCTGCCCAAAGGCAGACGCCAGTGAGATGAGCTGTAGCCACAGGGAGACGTGACACTTGAAATAACATGTAGCACATATGAAAGCACGCCTGCAGTTCAGAGCAGTGTGGCAGGACCTGCTTTGAAGACTGTTCTAGATAACAGAGCTGAAACAGGACAGTGGGAAAGTGTAAAACGGAACTTCCAGTCTGGAAAAGAATATTTCTTTCCTGCTGTCCCATCCGTCTGAACTGCAAGAGGGAAAAACTGCTTGGGGTCTGAGAAGAAGCAAGGCACTACAGGTTTTAACTGACTTAGGAGCGTGTCAGGGCGAAGTGGTAAATGCTCTGGGAAGGCAGGAGGGTGGGGCTGGAGTGAATAGCTGTTGTCAGGCATATTCAAAGAAAGGCCCAGGGAGGGTTGCTGGTGATACAGAAATGCCCCTCATTTAAAGTTTCGTGCTGGTGAGAACTCACCTTCATGGTCTGACTGGGAGGAAAATTGCCAACTTCAACATTTGGTTGTATTACATTATACAGCTCATGAGGAGAAAAAAAGCCTTATATATATTTTCTGTTTATATTAATTCTTATGATGAAATGTAGTTATCTAACATATTTACAAGAGAGAGTAAACTAAGCAAGATAATGCAAGATTAAGCTATGAAAAATAGTCTATGTTCTGCATATTGCTTTACGATTCATGTAGGGAACCTAGAACTATTGTTCATGTATAAATATCACCCAAAAGGCTGTCAGCCCTATATTTTTAAAATAAAGAATAGTTATAATTGAAATAGCCTTAGCCCTAGTTCTATAGGGTTTGGCTGTTGAATATTTTTATGGTTGAAATGTTTAGTTCAGGAAAAACATACCTGCTTGTATATATTTTTGATGTCCAGGATTCCACTTATTCCATTGTTTCTTTTAATTTAAATGGCATGTTTATATGTCTTTTCTGCTGTACCAGGATGGGAGGAAGGGGGCTGGATATCCCAAGCACCAGATATGATTTAAAAATATTGCAAATAAAGAATTCATTGAGAGGGGAAAAATAAAACATGAATAAAACATTAGATTTGGCCAAAATATAGAAAGCTTAAAGCAACTTCTCAGTGTTAAATTGGCAATATTTCTGAAGACACAAGTTCAGATTCCTCAGGCATTTGACTTGTGAATACTAACAAGTCTGTAAATTCTTACAGCATGTTGTGTTGAAAAAAAAGGAATTAATATGAGCCAGTGGTGCACTTTTCAGTTCTTTCTGGGGATCTGGTGAAGCAATACAGGGATGAGCCCAGAGCAGCCAATGTCCCAGATGACAGGTTAGTGTGGATTGGATTCACAAGTGAGATTTTCAGCAGAGATTAATGAATTTGTCTCCCACTACTTCAACTGATTTAGCAACCTGAGCTGCATAAAGTCATAGTATGTTACAAACATATGTTTATATGCAATTGTCAACTGATCCTAATTATCAAGTACTAAAAGAACTTTTATTTAGAATTTTCCCTCATGTGAGTGATGTGAGAAAATGAAATGCTGAGAATTAACAAAGCCTTATTGTTTTGGGTAGCTCAGGAACTGTTCATATACTAATGACATGCACAGTAAATACATCATGTCTTCATCTGACCTAGTATGGAAGTTTGGGGTTTTTTTAATCCAGTTGCGTGTGTTTAAAAATAAAAAGTTTTTTTTAATTATTCTGAGAAAAATAAAACAAAAAAAATGCTTGTTTAATTTTTAATTTTTATTTTTTTTTTTTTTTTGGTTTTGCATTTTATTACATGCTGCACTGGATTTGTATTTTCAACTCTGTTACATTGGTATCTCCAGCCCCCTTTTTGTGGTGTCTTTTAATTTTCTCCAAGATTCACTGTTTGTGTATATGTGCTCTAGTGAACTCGTGAAGAAACTGGGATCAGCAGCACTGGATTGTAAAATACTGTACTGAAATTCATTGTCGATATTTCCTTGCATTGTAATTTCAAATACTCAGGTAACTGTAACAGTATCTCCATAAGTCAAATACTTTTATAAAACTACTTAAAGAACTGGTAGTTCTGGTCATTTTTCCTGGTGTGTGATGGAACATCCGTGTGCAGATGAATTGTTTGGGGTCGGGCTGCCTGGAGTTGTCCTTCTAGCAGAGTTCTTTGGGAATGTTTCTTTCCTGAGACCTCTTCCACTGTTGTTAATTGCACTGGAAATTTATTAGGAGCTTTTGGACTCAATTCCTGGATTTTTAGTGCTTGCGGATGCTGCCCTGCGGAGCCAGTGAGGGACGTGGGCTGGAGGAAGGTTCTGCACGAGCCACAGTTGTAACATTTCCTTGTGGCACTCTTGTAGGGATAACAAAAATGAGGAATGACACTGCAAGTGGTTAGGATTGACAGCCACAAGGAGGGGGAGAAAGCTCCAGTGAGCCCAACCAGGTTTGTGTGTCCCTGATCCTCCCTGAAGGGAGAAGTGGCCTTCACGTTCTCCCTGTCATCAGGAGCCTCTCCTGCCGGCCTTGACCTTTCCCAGATAACTGAAATGGGCTTTGCAGTGACATTCCAGCTCCTCTGTGCTCACAGGGACATCCCGTCAGGTCTCAGGAACCTGGTTATGTCCAGTTTGGTCAAATGGTCCCTAAACAGGTCAGCCTGCCTGATATTCCTTGCTGCAGGCCTTCCCACGGGGTTCTCCCTTGGCTGACTTTCCCAGGTGTTCCCACAGGCCGGGTTAACACAGTTTTCGTAGTGGCAGCAAATCCCAAGGATGACTTTCTGTGCCAGGCAAATACAACAGCTATTGCCTTTTTCTGCAGCAGGGATGTTGGAGTTGCTTCCTCCAAGCCTTGGATGGGAACCACTTAACAGCATCCTATAGTAAGTTGTGGAAACTGGATGATCATCAGGGTCCCCTTCCAACCCCCATCATTCTGGGATTCTCTGATAAGGGAGATGGGGAGTTCCTCCCCCCTTCCCTGGCTGCATCCCCTCAGCTGCTGCCAGAGCCCCCTGGGACAGGGGCAAGGTGGGGAAGGCCAGTCCAAGGCATGGTACATCCCAAATCTCTGGGATCTGCAGCCCAAACCCCTGGGATGTCCCTGCCACAGCCCTGGGGATCTGTGTCCTGAGGGTAACCGCACCTCCTGCCCCTGCCAGGGAGAAGGGATGAGTGCTCTGCTCCCCCGGGGAAGGATCGAGGATGGGCCACAGTCTGGTGGCAAAACAAAATAATGCCCTGAAGAACTGCATCCCACGTAACCCCAGCTGTGCTCTGCGCACACAGCAGCAGCACTGGGCACTTTTCCTCGGGCTCTGCTTGAAGGGAGACGTAGAATGGTTTGGGTTGGAAGGGACCTTAAACAATATCTCATTCCACCCCCTGCCATGGGCAGGGACACCTTCCACTAGCCCAGGTTGCTCCAAGCCCTGTCCAACCTGGCCTTGGACACTTCCAGGGATGGGGCAGCCACAGCTTCTCCGGGCAACCTGTGCCAGGGCCTCCCCCTCCTCCCAGGGAAGGATTTCTTCCTAACATCTGATTTAACCCTACTCTCTTGTCAGTAAAGCTATTCCGCCTTGTCCTGTCGCTCCGGGCTCTTCTAAACAGTCTCTCCCCATCTTTGTTCCCTTCACGTACTGGAAGGCTGGAGGTTATTTGCGGGATCAAGGACCCGCTGAGCCGCCGGGAGCGGCAGCCACGGGGGATTTGGGTGTATTTGCGGACGTTTGCGGTGTTTTGTGGGGGATTTGGGTGTCTTTGCGGACGGTTGTGGTGTTTTGTGGGGGATTGGGGTGTGTTTGCGGACGGTTGCGGTGTTTTGTGGGGGATTGGGGTGTATTTGCGGACGTTTGCGGTGTTTTGTGGGGGATTGGGGTGTATTTGCGGACGTTTGCGGTGTTCTGTGGGGGATTGGGGTGTATTTGCGGACGTTTGCGGTGTTCTGTGGGATGCCGGAGGATGTTTCCCCGGCGCGGTCCCGCCCCGCGCTCGAAGCGCTTCCGGGGCAGCGGCGGGGCCGAGACGGGGCGGCGGCGGCTCGACAATGGTGGGTGAGGCCGGGCCGGGGCCGTGCGGGGCCCCAGAGCCGCCCTCGGGGGTCCCTGAGCACCCCCGGCCCTCGGGGCTCCCGCGGGCGGTGCCGGTGCCCCCTCGGCCCGGGCGGGTCCGGGCCCGGGCGGGACCCCCGAGGGCGGCGGGAGCTCTGAGGGGGCTCCGAGCCCCCGGCCCGGCGCGGGGCCGCGTTTGTGCGGGGGGTGCCCCAGCCCGGGGTCTGTCCCGTCCCGGGAGCTCGGGGGGTGCCCTCGCCCTCCCTGTCCCGGAGTCACTGCGGGAAAGGCGGGTCCTTCCCCCCAGCCTGGGGCTGGTCCCGGTGTGGGAGGCGGGGGGACCCCACAGCAAATCCTGCGGCTGCCGGGGCGCAGCCCTAAGGCTGGGAGCGGTCAGGAAAAAGGGGCTGTTTGGGGCTGTTTAATGTTCCGTGAGGCCCTGGATGTATTGTGATTTTATTGGAATATTCCAAGAAACTCGGGATGAATTGATTCTACTGTGATTGTATTGGAATTTTCTGTGAAACCCGGGATATGTTCCTTCTACTGTGATTGCATCGGAGGTTTCTTCCTGCCCCAGGAGTGTTGTTGTTCAGGGCGTATTCATGAAATTCGGGGATCAAAGTACGTGTCAAAAAATTTGTAAAGAAATAAGGGATGACCTGGGCTGTAGGTAGAGAATTGAAGTTATCTGATGAGATGTGTTTTTTAGGTGAACCCAGGAGTTCAGGCTTTCCAGATGAGAACAGGAAGATAAAGGCTGCTGTTTGGACGTGTAGCAAAGGGTATTTGACAGCAAATTGGCGATAGGAGAGTGTTTATCCTCCTTTTCCAGAGTGCATCTCTCCTTCCCCATGTCTCTTGTAGTTATCCAGCACTTTGTTAAGATAGTTTTTATTTGTTTGACGAGTTAAATATATAATTTTTTTTCTCAGTAATAATTTTGCTGCTCTGGTGAGCTATGCTGGCTGGTGAAGGTGTTGGACAAGCCCCAGGGTGGGAATAGGAGAAGCAGGACCTTCCCACGTCAGCAGCAGTGAAGTGTAAGCCCATCCCTCACCTGGGAGTTAGATCAGCTCTTGGTGGTAGAGGAAATTAAAAGCTGGTATCCTTCTGTATGGCTGCTGCTTTGCATCCAAATGTTTTTAAAGGTCCTGTGAAGGAAAGTATTTAATGAATCAGGACTTAAATACTGATAGTAAGAAGTCAAGAGATTACTTCTTAATTTCTTAAGAGATTTGCCATCATATTTCTGTCAGCATTTGTGCACCCCATAGCTTGTTCTTCATTTCACTCCCTTTGCCTTCCATTTGAAAATAATCCAGCATTCAGAAATTATCAAGAGTTTTGTTGAAAAGACTGAATCTTTCTGTGCTGTATCAGACAGAAAAACCTCTGCTCCACAAAGACCAGCCCAGGGGGTCCCACCCCTGATCAGGCACAGGTCGTGTTCCCAACAGCCTCCCGAGGAAAGTGGGTTAACAGTGCTGGGGCGGAGCTCGTGTTGTGAGGACAAGGGCTCTTCCCAGGGAACAGGGCTTGGAGAACGTGGCTGGGCTTGTTTGCTGAGGGAGGAAGTGCAGAGGGTTGTTCCCAGTGCCCAGGGAACACAGCCTTGGCCAAATGCCCCACGTAGGCCTCACCTGTCCTGGTTCAGGGGATTCCTGTCTCCCTTCCTTGACCATTTCTGTGGGACTCTGCCTTGCAGGATCTGAAAGATGCTGCCTGTCTCTTGGAATATTGGATTAAAAAATGCCATGTATTTCCCCAGCTGTGGTGCTGAGGGTTTCCCACCCTGTTACAGAACCCAGAGTTACATTTTGATCTGTGTATTGTAGCAGTGGAAGTTGTGCAGAAGGTACTGAAACCTCCTCTGACTTTGATGGTCTTTACAGAGAAGGCAAAGGGACTATAAGGGCCTGTTGCCTTGGCCTTGTTTGCATTTTCCCTTTTTTAAGCTGTAGTTTTTTATTGGTAGTGTTATAATCTTGCAGCCATCCCAGCATGACTCAGAATTCTAAGCAAATAGTGTTTATTAATTGCTTTCCCCTCACTTCTCTTATGAGTAATTGCTCTTAACAGTCATTTAATAAAAGGGAAGGTGATCTTGCACCCAGAATGTGTTTTTTTCCTACTTTTTTCATAAATTCCGTATCTATTTTCAAACATTACTTTTGTCTGACACCCAAATTGTAGTGGCCTGACTGCAACTTCCAGCTGCAAGAATTCACTGGGAGGGCTGGGGAGGAGGAGGGAGGGAAAGATGAGAGGGGAGTTCCACGTTTCCACAAGGTGATAATCACAAATGAGCGATGAGCAAAGACAGACAGAAAACAACAGCAAAGGTCCTGCAGAAAAGATGGTACCAAAGCACAGCCACTTTGCTGTACTGTGTGTGTTTGAATCACCCCTGTGCAGCTTTGTTTTCAGAGCTGTAACCCCCTGTTGACCTGTGCTTTCTCTGTTTGCAGGCTGAGGTGGAGGAAACACTGAAGCGAATCCAGAGCCAAAAGGGAGTGCAGGGAATCATCGTGGTTAATTCAGAAGGTGCTGTGTCAGCCTCGCTTCTCTGAGCTGTAACTTATTCTAACCCTGTGCTTGGGGGGCTGCTCACTGTGCCACTTAGCTTAGAGTCTGGCTTTAGCAGGGGTTTCTCTGGAACCAAAGCAGAG